AATTTGAATGTTGGTCCTCTGGTGTCCCGTGGTCTATTGCTCTAAGGAATGTATTACCATAGAGTATGTGGGTGCATCATCCTGGGTTGAGTGGTCTGCGTGTACATCTTGTTAACTATTGGGCTGAGAGCCAGCCCCTGGGAGTCCGTTTTATTCCAGGCGCAGAATGTTTTCCAGGGCCATAGTATTGAGGGTCTCACAAGATTTCATCTAACCAGTAATTCTGGTTATTATTGAGTTTTTGGATTTTGTTCCACGTTTTCCCTCCCACTCTATCCAGGATCTCCAGATTTGATCCTTTCCTGAGTGGTTGGCATTGGTAGCCAGGCACCATCTAGTTCTTCTGGTCTTGACAGCCATCGTGTCCTATGGCTGATTGCTTCCAAATGCCCTTTCTTTGTTGTTGTTGCATTCTTCGCTTCTGACTCTAGGAGACCGTTAGCTGCATCTTAGATGGCCACTTGAAAGCTTTTAAGACTCCAGTTGCTACTCATCAATGTAGGATGTGGAGCAAGGCTTTTATGTACTTTGTTGTGCCAATTGAGTCTGATGTCCTTCAGTACTATGGTCCTAAGACGATAGCTCTCTCTCCCATAGTGTCTTGTTGTCTGTGAGGGATTACTCTGTGTCTGTCTTCTTTTGTTTCTGCGAGGACTGCATGTAGTTTGTATCACTGGTGTCTGTGCAAGATTAGCCTCAGGTGAATCTGTCCTCAGTCTACAGTATACTTCTGTTCACTGACCCCCAGCTGATCACCTCAGGTGTTTATGTGTTTATCTGTAGGAGCCTGGCACTTTGAACTTGGACTTAAAGCCTCCAAACTATAAGAGAATAAACTCCTGTTTCTTCAAGCCATCTCATTTGTAGTATATCCCTGTCAGAGCGGCATTAGGTAACCAGAACACCCTGGAATATCAGAAGACATCACAGCACCATTTGGGAACAGAATAAAAGGAGTCTAATCCTGATTCTAAGCCACCCTGGTGGCATAGCAGCTGAGCTCTCAGCTGCTAACTGAAAAGCTGGTGGTTCAAACCCACCCAATGGCTCTGTGGAAGACAGACCTGGAGATCTGCTCCCATAAAGATCGCAGCCTAGAAATTCCTCTCCATCACATGGGGTCAGTGAGTCAGAACTGATTCGACAACACCTAACAACAATCCTGATTCTAACACTTCAGCAAAAGTTTCTCCAGTTGTAAAACTGAATGTTCTCAACCCCCAAACCCATCTTGTCAGCATGCACTAAAGACAAATAAAATCTCAGTGTGATAAAGCTCAAGTAAAAAGATGACAATTTTAAAACATGGGCCCCACAACAGACTGTGAAAAGTAGGAACATGAAAAGCAAAGCAGCTGGAGCATTTTGCTGACATTACAAAACCAATACTTCATTAAGCACACTGCTGCTTCCAACAAAGCCTGCTCAAAATGGAGAAAATACTACCATCCTAAGCTAAGAAATTAAAAAAAAAAAAAAAAAGTACACAACCAAAGTTAAAATCCCTAAATATTTCTGTTATTTTTGCACTCAATAAGCTAGGTAGTCACAGGACTTTTTCACCTTCAACTTGCTGCTAAACAATTTCCAGGATCTGTGTGTATTCCCATACCACTTGTTAAAATGATCAAATGTACCTCAATCCTCAGCTCAGTTTTTTTTGTCCCTTTTTCATAGGTGAATACAATGACAATTCCTTCTATCATTCTCATCTATTGGCTCAAATCATCACAGAATATTCGATTAACAAGTAGTCTTATATGGAAAACCTCTTATGACCTGGGTGACTGTAGTCTTGTCTCTAAAGCGGAGGGTTTCCAATTGTGCTACGATGCATCCTCTAAAATGCGTTGGGAACTATGTGTGTCTGTCATACACACACACACACACAAAGACAGAGAGAGAAAGAGAGAAGAGGAAGAAGGAAAAGAGAGAGGCATAAAAGAAACAATGAGAGGAGAAAGGAGTGAGAGGGAGGGAAGAAGGGAGAAAGAGAAGGAAGGAAGGGAAAAATGGGCAAGGGGGAGAGGCAGAAAGGGAGACAAAGACTGGAAAGTGTATGAGCTGGAGAGGTTGAAAACTCTCTCTGCCCCCTGGAACCCCTACTTCATATCAGAGTTTCAAGTAAGAGTTAACTTGAACAAAGGACTCTAAAGCTAGCATGTTTTTATTTTGTAAAACCACTGCTCTATATAATCCATTATTAGATACAATGTTGAGACAAACTACAGGGCTAATTCATAAATGGTTTCTTTTGGAGATTTTTTTTTCAATTAAAGCCCTTCCCACCAAACTTTCTCTAAAGACAAATAAAAAGACATCCAGCAAAGCACCTCTCTTTTTTGGCTCATGTTTACCTATGGTGGCCTGAAGTTGCAGGAGGAACAGAGTTTCCATGACCACCTTCTTTGAGTCGCTCCAATAATCTTCGGTATTTCTCTCGTTCCTCTTTTTGAACACCCTAAATAAGAGAAAGCATGTTACATAAGTACTATCATGTTAAACCTGTCATTGTCATAAATGGACATTAAGAGTTCAAATACAGCCCACAGAGGTGTTTTACTTTCCAGTTTTCAAAAGGTCCTTGAATCAATTGCCAACTTTTTAAGTTGAAAAAATTAAAATTCAGACAAGGGGCAAGGTTATGGTCATTACTTGGTCACAGCCAGCTACCCAGAGGGACCGAGTAGTTGATCCTGCGGGCTTGGGACCATAGTCGC